TATATATATATATATATATATATATATATATATATATATATATATATATATATATATATATATATATATATATATATATATATATATATATATATATATATATATATATATATAAATTCATGTGCCTTCATAATCTTTTTATTATTTTTATTTTTATATTTTTTTTTGTTTATTTCAGTTTATTCAGTGTTTTCCGGAAACAATAATAAAAAATAAAAAAACAAGTGCAAATTTAAAACCCGTTCCTACCTATTCAACACTTGGTAGACTTCAAAAAATGAATAAAAATAATTTTTGCAAAGAAAATTTACAAAGATTAAGATTATTATTATTATTATTATTAAGGATGACACAACATCAAAAGCTGAATGCCACATACTGACAGTTTTCCCATTAACTCCATGTATTTGAGAAGTTGAGAGTTCCATCGAGAGATTGTCCAACAAATACACAGTCCAGGTTTGTCTGTCCATTGTGTGAGGAGGATTCCAGTGGTTGATCAGCAATTTTTTTTTGCTGCTGTGAGAGCAGTTAACAGAAGACATTTTTTTTGAACGGACAAAGTGAGGTCCCAAAAGTCATTCATGAAAACATGGCATGGAGTCAAGCATATCTCAGTTCTCAATAAATATGATTGATTCTGTAAGAACTAATTCCAGAAAGGTGAGAGGGACAGACATAACGCAATTTTCTTTAAAAAGTGCCTAAAGATCCTGACAGAGATTACAGTTACAAGAAGATGAGAGATTCTTATAAAACGTTTCTTTAAAGTCAAGTAAAACCTATACAGCAATTTCCATTGAATCATTTGGTGATTTGGATTTTTGAAGACAATTTAAACATCTCTTGTTGTTACGTGATCTAAAAATGAAATGTGTACATTCTCATAAGGTCCTTAGCCCAAACAGTTCTAATAGATAGAGGTTTGTATAAATGCTGAAGAAGAAAGAGATAGAATGCCCCCATAATCTTTATTAAAATGACTTCCCCTGCCTCTTACAATAACATGCATCTTACAATGCAACTGAAATCACATAAAGAGCAGGTAGTACAATTCAATTTGCACTTATTTCACAACATTAAAAAAGTATGCTCTATGTAGTATGAATGAAAATCAGACTTCATCTGCTACGTGTTGTTATTAAAAAACCTATTAGCATCAGCATGTTATTTCATTTCTTAAAATCACAAAATCTTAAATGCTTCAGTGTATTTTATTTCTTGTTAGACTTGTATCAACTTTTTTCTAAGATGCTGTTGTGGGAGGCTGATCGCAGAGCATGTGGGCCCATACTCTGGTTTGCTGGGACATGACCCTGGGTCTGGCTCTGCAGAAGAGGAGGAGTGGTCTGTGCTGCAGCACACCAGCCTCAGCCCCACTGATGCCTTCGGATCACTGGACTTCCAGGGCAGCTCAAAGCGTGCGTGTCGTGCTAAGGTTGGTGTACACAGATATTAAATCTCAGTCAATGTGTAGACATTTTTTTGCTGATTATAGGTATACTTCACCCAGTATTAAATATTTAATTAAATATTTCTCATATTTTCACATATTTAATTAAATATTTCTCATAATTTACTCACCATTCACTTGTTTAAAACCTGTTTAAAGTTCTTTCTTCTGTTGAACACAAAAGATGATGCTTTAAAGAATGTTGAAAACTGGTAGCCATTGTCTTCCAAGGAATTTTATTTCTTATGGATGTCAATGGCTACGGGGTTCTAACTTTCATCAAACTATTTTTTTGGTGTTCAGCAGTAAACAAAAACTCATTTAGATCTTGAGGTTGAGTAAATTATGAGCAAGTTTTCATTTAACAGTTCGTTTATAATATAGGATGCAATTTTCTCCCACAGTATGTGCGTCTTTCCTGTGACTCTCCACCAGAGCTCCTGGTCCAGCTGATGCTGAGAGAATGGCACATGGAGATACCCAAGCTGGTGATCACCGTACACGGAGGGACAGATAACTTCCTTCTGTCTCCACGGGTGTGCCAGGCCTTCAGCACTGGGCTCGTCACAGCTGCAGAGAGCACTGGAGCATGGATACTGACAGATGGCATCAATACGGGTTGGAATATATGCACTCTCGTTTTGCTTTCACAATTTCTCACAGATGCTGCAGTAGAGTTCCTATAACTTTTTTTTTGTCACGGAGAGATTCTACATACTGTAATTAATTTATTTTTGTTGATATGTTTGTGGTTTTGTTAAATATTTATGCTGTTGTATGTATGTATGCATGTATGTACATATTTATTTATTTATTTATTTATTATGTATGTATAAATTTATATGGATAAATAAATACTATAGTATAAATATTTATGAAAAATAACAATTACAAAAATGAAAACTGAAAACTCCAAAAAGCAACATATAATTATAAAAAAATGTTTATTTATTTATTTATTATTATTATATATAAATATATATATATATATATATATTTTAGTTGAAGTTTTTGTCGTCATTATTATTGTTTTAATATTGTGGTTTTAACCCTCTAGCATTGCTCATTTGAACAATTTTGTCTCTAAAATATGGTAATCAAATATACAAAACAAAATATAAAAATAACAAACTTATTGGAATGAATGACACACGGTGACTTTTGTGCCACTTGCTATGTGAACACTCAAAACAAATGTAGATGTTTTTCAAAAATCTAAACAGTTGTTTAAAAAAAGTAATTATTGACTACTAAGTACACTGAATCAGATAAAATCTTGAAATCAACGCATAATAACCAGATGAATCAAGTTCTGGTTAACCATTCATGCATATTATTACATTTTGTTGTTCAAGATCATCAATGTTTAGTTTTAGGATCCACAGTATTTCAGCTAAATATGTTTAATCTTAGTTGTCAAGGCAACATTTTTACATATAAGTTATTTTAATGAATCGACTAAGAGTTATCTTTTATTTACATTTCATTTATTTGATAGTTTTCTTAGTTTAGTTAACAATAGCAACTCTAATCTTATTTCTCCATGTATCTAGGTGTGTCCAAGTATGTTGGCGATGCTGTAAAAATGTATGGGTCACATGACCACAGGAAGAGAAATGTTGTAGGCATCACACCCTGGGGGATTATTGAGAATAACAGTGACCTTATTGGCCGGGATGTGAGTTTTGCAATTCTACACGATTGTCATCTCAAACATTTCCTGAATATAATAAATAAGTTCAGTTAGAAAACTAAATAAATGGTACATTTTACTAGTGGCTATAGACTTTTGAAGGCCACTGCCTGTATGCATAAGGCGCTTAAAGAAATAGTTGACACAATATTGAAAATTTACTCGCTATCTACTCGCTCTCAAGTGGTTTTAAACCTTTGTTAGTTTCTATTTCCGTTGAACACAAATGAAGATATTATGAAAAAAGGTAAAATGCTGTAGCCACTGACTTCCATAGTAGACTTCAAAAACAAATACTATGGAATTCAACGCTTGCAGGTATTACGTTTTCTTCAAAATGTCATCTTTTGCCTTCAACAGAAGGAAGAAACTTAAACAGGTTTGTAACAAGTAAAGCGAGAGTAAATAATGACAGATTTTTTATTTTTGGGTCAACTATCCCTTTTTAGCATATTTTCTGCAAAATACATAATGTTTTGGGGTTTTATTGATGTGTTTTTTCTGGTTTTATCAGGGTTTGAGGCACTACCAGGCTTTAGGAAATCCTCTGAGTAAACGTGCCAGTCTGAACGGCATGCACTCACATTTCCTCTTGGTTGATGATGGAACTATTGGTAAATCAGGTTGTCAAATAGAGCTGAGGAAGAGACTTGAAAGGCATATACACTATCAGAAGATCCACCCTAGTAAGAGTTTTCATCATGCAAGTGCCATTGAGTTAAACAATATGTGCATGTGTGATATATATATATATATATATATATATATATATATATATATATATATATATATATATATATATATATATGTGTGTGTGTGTTGATTTCAGGGCTGCCTCAGCATGTGCCTTTAGTATGTGTCGTAGTAGAAGGTGGTCCTTCCGTCCTCTCCGTTGTGCTGGAATATGTGTGCAGAACGTCTCCTGTCCCTGTGCTGGTGTTTGAGGGAACAGGGAGAGCTGCAGACATGCTGGCTTTAATACACAAACAAACAGCTGTAGACAGGTAAATGTGAATTGAAGGAATATTTGGCTTGCTATCTACCTGTTAAGTTGTGCCGTATGGAATACTGTGCCCAAATCCAAGCCTTTACTCAACTGAATTTGAGAAAACTTACTATATAGTTATGGACTTACTGCATCCGAGACATTAATATATTAATTATTCATAATAAGCTGAATTGCTGTCTGACCATCCAACGATATCTCGCGCCAATTTATAACTTTTTGATTTAGTGGCTAATTCAAATGGAATTTATACAATCTCTTTGGTACGATTTGCTCATCACCCAATGACGGATTAGGGGTGGGGTTTGGTGCCACGTCTTCTTTAAAAAAATCGAACATTTTCATATGAGTTAATGAATGAAGTCAAATTATGAATTGGCCACTAAACTGACGAAACGTAAAATGGTTCGTTTAATTTCCTCATGCTTGACCAGGGGTGGGCAAACTCGGTCCTGGAGGGCCGGTGTCTTGCACAGTTTAGCTCCAACCCTAATCAAACACACCTGCTTATAGATTTCTTGTGATCTTGAAGACACTGATTAGCATGTTCAGGTGTGTTTGACTAGTGTTGGAACAAAACTCTGCAGGGACACCGGCCCTCGAGGATCAAGTTTGCCCATCCCTGTGCTAGACCATCTGAGATTAGGTATGCCATGGATAAAAACATAGTAGTAGTAGTATTGGAGTAGTGTTACAGCACAATGTGAGCATATGTTTGTACTATTTTTTTTTTTGCACGTAACATTTGGAACCAGAAATCTTGATTCTTAAATGACTGTTATTTTTGTGTGAACTTGTTTGTGTCACAGAAAGTTGGATTCTGATATTAAAGAAGACGTCCTGCAGAGGATTCAGGATTCGTTTGGGGTTGAGAGATCAGAATCCACTGAACTCCTCGACATTCTTATGGAATGCATGGAGCATAGAGAGCTTGTGAGTCATTAATGTTTTTGCTCTGTCTGGAATTGTTCATCCAGTGGCATGCAGTGGTCAAATATTTGTGTATATTGACCACTAACCAATGTTACGGATCATTTTCCTGAGCAGCTTGTTTTCTCCATAACTCTGCTAGTCTCGTGTTTCTTGTGTTACTCAGCAGTCTTTTTGTTCTTCATAAAATGTTATTAACACTTTAAAAAAAGTGGTCCATTAGTTAATGTATTAACTAGCATGAACAAACAATTAGTAATGCATTTATGATGATATTTGTTCCACTTTGTTAACCTTAGTTAATTTTATTTAAATTAAATAATGTTAGTTCATGTTAATGCACTGTGCATTAACTAATGTTAACAAGCACAAGTTTGTATTTTAATAATGTATTAGTTATTGTTGAACTATGATCAATAAAGGCTTTACAAGATAATTCATACATAATTATTCTTAGTAAATACATTAACTAAGGGCGGCTCAGTGCCTCAGTGGTTAGCACTGTTGCCTCACAGCAAGAAAGTCACTGGTTCGAGTCCTGGCTGGACCAGTTGGCATTTCTGCGTGGAGTTTGCATTAGGGCTGCTCGATTTTGGAAAAAACATAATCACGATTATTTTGATCATAATTGTAATCACGATTATTCAAAACGATTATTAGTTAAAGTCAAAATTATTTGCGCTCCTGAGAATTTTTTAAAAATAAATATTTCCCGAATGATGTTTAACAGAGCATGGAATTTTAACAGTATTTCCTCTAATATTTTTTCCTCTAGATGAAAGGCTTATAAGAAAAACACTCTAGCTACAAAAGTCCTTCAGTCAAAAGCAGTGAGATAATTTTTTCCTTTTATTGTTTGATTAATAATGATGAAAACAGGCAGCAGCAGGAATTGCGCACTGTCACTTTAATGGTTTCTCTTTCACGTGTCTTTTGATTCTCAACTCGTTTATTACACAAATGAGGGTTAATATGAATAATCACTAAACACCGCGTTTTGACACATATTTGACCATTAAAGCGCTCACGTTAATGACTTTAGATGTGTACGCTCCTCTGCTCGTCTCAGTGTGCGAATGAGACCGAATGCTGACCGCGTGCTTCTGACTGTGTGTGCGTGCCGCACCCACACACACACAGAAGAATGCGGTCTTTCGCGCTTTTAAGAGCAACAATTGTGTGCAACTGGAAAGGGGGCGGTATATGATGCAGTAATTGTTTATCTCGATCAATGGTTTTTTCATAATCGTTAGAAGCCGAAATCGAAATCGGATTTTCGATTAATTGCACAGCCCTAGTTTGCATGTTCTCCCCTTGTTCTTGTGGTATTCCTCTGGGTGCTCCGGTTACCCCCACAGTCCAAAGACATGTGGCATAGGTGAATTGAATAAACTTAATTGGCTGTAGTGTATGACTGTTAGTGTGAAGGTGAGAGTGTATGGGTGTTTCCTAGTACTGGATTGCAGCTGGAAGGGCATCCCCTGATAAATAAGGGACTAAGTCAAAGGAAAATGAATGAATGAACATTAACTAATGGATCATAATTCTAAAATGTTCCCAAAAATAATTACTAAAATAATTGAGTAGTTTATTAAGATAAATTTTATTAATAGCATTTTTTAGTACTCTACCTTATTTTGCCTTTCTTTACTATACTCACGTTGTCTAGGTTTATAATAATGAATAATGAATTAATAATGAATTAATTGAACGATCCTACAAAAGCACAAACACAATCTTCTAATGAAAATCTACTGTTTAGCCTTGTTTGTTATTAAACCTGTTTTATTTACAATTTATAGTTATATTTGACTCCATTTTTAATATTTGACTTGATTTGTGTACATGTGAACTGCTGTGAGGTTAAAATATAGGCTATCCAAATGTAGAGCTATCAGTTTTATTTAAATTAAATTTTCTTCCAAATATTCTTTAATTTCTTCATCAATTTGTTTTTGTTTTTAATAAAACAGATAAATATAAAATAAATAAATTTTAATATCTGTATGTTTTGCGTCAAAATTGGTTTGTTTTCTGTTAAAGTTACAACATGCAAAAACATTATTGTGTAATTATTCATTAAAGAAATAAATATAATAGAAATTATTGTTATTATTAATAAGTACATTGTACTGTGCTTTAGTAATTTATGTCTGTCAGTTTAAAACAGTTTTTGTTTTTGTACCATTTGTAGTTTTTCTTAAATAAAGTATAAAATGCTGGTCAAGTGACTTGATGTAGCTCTGGAGATGAAGTTATTGTGCTTGTGTCAATATGCAGTATCAAAACGTTCAATTCAATTCATCTTTATTTTTATATTGCTTTTACATGGTAGATTGTGTCAAAGCAGCGTAACAGAAGTTCTAGTAAATTAAAACTGTCAGACCAGATTCCAAAATCTGTAAAGTACAGTTTAGTTCAGTTCAGTGTGGTTTAATTTTCACTGTTAAAAGTCCAAACACTGAAGAGTAAATCCATTGATGCCCAAAATATTAGATTAGATTAGATTAAACTTTATTGTCATTACACATGTACAAGTACAAGGCAACGAAATGCAGTTTAGGTCTAATCAGCAGTGCAAGCAGCAAGTGCAGGATACAGGTATAAGTTATAAAGTGCAGTTATAGAAAAACTATGGTGATATTTACAGATGGATGTACAATGAACATTATATGCAGGTTGTATTATCTACGAACAGAGATTTACAAATAAATGATTTTATGTACAGATTGCTATCAATAATCAGAAGTGTCCTTTAAGCAATTTTCACCACAGTGTCAGTGCAGTGTCTTACGCTCAGCAACAGAGCAGCTTCCATACCAGACTGTGGCGTAGGTGGTCAGGATGTTTTCTATTGTGCAGCGGTAGAAGTTCACCAAGACGGCTAATGAAAGCTGGTTGTTCTTAAGTTGCCTCAAGAAAAATAGGCGCTGATGAGCCTTCTTGACCTGGCTGGAGTTGTTAGTGGTCCAGGAAAGGTCCTTTGAGATGTGGGTCTCCAGGAACTTGAAGGATGAGGATCCTATTGATGTGGATGGGATCATGTGAGCCTGTTCGTCCCTTCCTGAAGTCTACAATGAGCTCCTTGGTCTTGTTGGTGTTTAGGAGCAGATTATTGTCGGTGCACCAAGTGGCCAGATGCTGTATCTCCTCCCTGTAGGCAGTCTCATCATTGTTGCTGATTAGACCAGTCACTGTGGTGTCATCAAATCTGATGATGGTGTTGGATCTGTTCACAGGCCTACAGTCAATAGTAAAAAGGGAGTAGAGAAAGGGGCTCAGCACACAGCCCTGTGGTACACCAGTGTTGAGTGTGACGGTGGTGGAGCAGATGTGGCCTGATCTAACATTCTGAGGTCTGTTTGTCAGAAAGTCCATGACCCAGTTGCAGAGAGACGTGTAGATATCCAGGTCTCTAAGTTTGATCATTAACTTGGAGGGTATGACAGTGTTGAATGCTGAGCTGAAGTCAACAAACAGCATTCGTGCATAAGTGTTTTTATTGTCCAGGTGTGTGAGTACAAGTGCAGTGCTATGGAGACTGCATCTTCTCTGCTTCTGTTGCCATTGTAGGCAAAATGATGTGGGTCCAGTGTAGATGACAGAGAGTCTTTCAGGTGTGCCAGGACCAACCGCTCGAAGCACTTCATGATGATGGGTGTGAGTGCTACAGGGCGGTAGTCATTCAGGCATGTTGGGCTGGAGTGTTTCGGAACTGGCACTATAGTGGTGGTTTTAAAGCATGTTGGCTCAGCTGCTAGGTTAAGCGACAGGTTGAAAATGTCTGTAAATACCCCAGAAAGCTGTTCTGCACATGCATTGAGGAAGCACCCAGGAATACAGTCTGGTCCAGCAGCCTTGCGCACATTGACACGACTCAATACGGTGTAGAGTGTGGTAGGTGAGTGGTCGGTTTAGGAAGTGATCCTGGTGTAGGGTTCTTTATTGTCTCTTTTAAAGTGGGCATAAAAGTAATTTAGCTCGTTCAGGAAGGAGACATTTGTGGCTGTGGGTGTGGACTGGATGGGTTTGTAGTTGCTGATGGCCTGGATGCCCCGCCACATGTGCCTATCAGAGTTGAAAAAGGGCTCCTCTAGCTTTAGCTTGTAACAGTGCTTGGCCTATTTGATGCCCCTCTTCAGATTAGCCCTGGAATTGCTGTAGGCCTCTGCATCCCCTGATCTGAAAGCAGTGTTGTGTGCCTTCAGCAGGAGGCACACCTCCTTGTTCAAAATATGTAATAAAAGAAAGTGCAAAACTGCAAAAATATGTAGTAAAAGAAAATGCAACATTCATGCACCCAGACATTCATAACTTTGAGACTTTATATTTATAAATAGCCTTTTAGCATTTTATTATTTACAGAATTTATTTCACATCACAATCTGATTGGGCATACAGACCGACTTTTGATTTATTCATCTGAAATCTCCAAAATTCTGTGGAAGGACAAATAATGCCAACCACTTTCCTGTCTCCACTACTCCCAGCAGATACCCATCAGTTTATTTGCAGATTGTAATCTTCAGGAAATGTTAACTTCATCGTGAACTCCTCATACATCAGCAAAGTTCTTGTCCTTTAAGCTAGGAACTCAGCGCAGCATATACAAATCCCTTTCTTAGTTTCTCTGGCTGCTTCCTCTTCTTCTTCTTCCTCTCTCCTCCTACTTGGCGGTAAACACTGGTTGTTTTGTGTGATAAGATGCCTGCTGTGTATCGGTCTCTGTCACTACGCCGAAAGCTCTGATGCTAAGCCTCCATCAAACAGAATGTTGTAGTTCACCACACCCATCCCGCATTTCTGAGCTTCTAAATTGAGAGGGAACAGAATAATTGGAATGATGGCGCATGAAACGTATTTCCATATTAATCGAGTAGAAGGGATTAATTTGGTCCCCAGGCGCACAGATTCTTTGATTGGGTATGAATCACTCATGTGGAGATGAAGTGCCAAAGGCATGTTAAGAGAAGAACATCTCCTCTGGGTGTCTTGTAGAGTTACATGCATTTATATATTGGCATGGGATATGATGGTAGTTTCATATTAATACCAAACAAAATAAATAACCGCTGGCTATATTGAAAGCAACACAACAGCAGTGGCACTAGTTTACAAATCTGTTTTAATGCTGGCCATCTGTGCTAATTAATTGTTTTAAAGGTGCAACTATTTTTTTAATGAGGTCAAACTTTAACAATGTTTCATTTCAGATCAGCATTTTTGACTCTGAATCTGAAGACCTTCAAGAGGCAGATGTTGCAATCCTGTCCACATCGCTGAGAGGTATGTCATGTTGTTATTATATTATTCAAATAAGTCTTGTTGTGCTTTTTTACACAATGCTCTTTAGGTCTTAGGTGTCCCCAGAAAACATATGTGAAGTTTTTGTTTATGTCTCTTTAAAAGTGAACAAAGTGCATCTTCCCATCCCTAAAACAAAACACTGCCTTCATATCATGTGGAGTTTATTGGGCTTATAAAAGATTTGGTTATTTGTTGATGAGAATATGACTAGCAGCTTTGTTTTTGGGTTGTTATTATATCTATTTTTATGGTCACTGTGATTGACAGAGTTAGTTTACAGTTTTTGGTAATCAATGTAATAATTTAAATATTGTTGATTTACAGGATTTTAATTCAGTTTGATGATTTATTTTAAAGGGGATGTATCATGCTCATTCTGACCAATCTCATAATCTTGAATCATAAAGTAAACCCAAAACAAAAGTGTCCACCTGGATCTCCTTCAAAGAATCGGCCTTGATCCACAAAGCATTCAGCATCTGGATTCAAGTCTTGTCAGTTTAAACTTTTTTGAGTGCAAAGATAATAAGTGCACTAGCAGAATCAGGGTTTTAAAGGGCACATATGATAAAAAAAAAATTTGTAAGCTGTTTGGACAGAACTGTGTGTAGCTATAGTGTGTCCACAGTCATAATGGAGTGACATAAAGACAATAAATCTTTTTTTTTAATTTTCTGACATTAAAATAGGATCAAAATCCCTGCCATTTTGAGTCTGACTGGAACGTGACGTAGGAGTGCGGTTTCCTTTCCCACCGATTTGATTTGACAGTCGCATATTAACATGTCTTCGTGGTAAAGCGTATAATCAAATTAACAAGACAGGACGTGCGCAAAGCAACTGGGATTAAAATATCTGTTCAGCTCTCTGTGATCATCAATCATCATGAAATGTGATCAAGAATAATATTTACAAGTTAAAAATTTTTTTAAATGGTGCATGTTTGTAATGAATTACAGCAATTTTTATCGCTTTTTACTTTATCACCACAGCCGCGTGTGTGTACAGTAAAAGAAGACACTTTAATTCCAGTTTGTGGATGTGGAATCAGATTTATTTTAAACATTAACATAATGGATATCCATACATCAGTGGATATTATCATGTTTCTTTTCATATTTGTCATGCAAAAACAGTGCAAAGTTAAACGTGTTGGCTGTGTGTCTGTGCGTGCGTGAACTTTGTAATGACATTGTGTGTGACTCATCGTGGCAGAAAGGCTTGAATTAACTCCACAACATATACATCAAATAGCCATTGGGAAAGTTTTTACTGTAGTTTTTCTCACAAACATTACGTGAGATCTGCTTTCTTCATGTCTGTCACTGTGCTGTTTGTCTGACCCACGCAGGTATTGAGGCACACTCTGACAGGCAGAAAAAAATTCCAATATTCCGAAAGGTCTAATAAAAAGTCTGATGTATGTTTCGTGCTGAAACTTTACAGACACATTCTGGAGACACAGAAGACTTATCTTAAATCTTAAAAAGGGGTTAAAAAGATGCCTTTTAAGCTTTCAAATACACCCAAATGTAACGAACTGGGTAAGAAATTGCATGTGTATCAGTATAATAAATCTTGGTCGCAATGAAAAGCAGGCCTCACTAGCTTTAACTTGCTTTAAGTGTGAATTCTTTGCATTGGAGATACTGTGACTATTATGTTCCAAGAAAATAACATTGGACTACAGTCCTCGAAGAGAATTCAGAAACAATTCCCTTTAGGGTGGAAATTGTTCTTTATTACTTTGTAGATTTTTTTCTAGTCAAATAGCAACCATAGTACATTAAAGATGACCTATTATGCAAAAATCACTTTTGTAAGGGGTTTAAATAGTATTGTGTGGGAATAGTGTGTGAGTATAGACAACCCCTAATGCTAAAAAAAATATTAGTTATAATTATTACAATATTATTATAATCAAACTTGAAAAAAACATTCTAAAGAAACACTTTAGCTGAGCCCAAAATTGCTTATTTCCATACTATATAGTACGCTTAAAACATTATGCGAGCCGAGTAGTATGTCTGAATTCATAGAATTTAAAAAACAGTATGTGAGAAGTACCGGGATGACCTACTTCCAGTGCGATTCTGAAGTGTGCATCGGATGGATGCTACGCTATCTCAAGATTCAACTGACATGGATAGGTCACGTGATGATGACAAAATGGCTGATGTAGTACATCTGAGTTCCATTCATACAACTGACATTCATACTTTATATCAAGTAGGCCAAGTAGTACATTTTAAATCAAATCCAGTACCTACTCGAGAAGTAGATGATTTCGGACGCAATCTGCAAATTGACATTCTCCCTTCCCTCCCATTCTCCTGATAAAAATTGCCACCCATTAGTGACGATTTCTTCCTCATTAGCATAATTAGCCATGAGTGAGAAGCAGCTGTCCACCATTAGTGTTTTCATCTGCTGATTATAATGTCAGCAACAAATTACAAATATGGAGTTTCAGATGCACAAGTAAATACTGTAGTCTCCGTAGACTGCCGCCTTCTGAGACAGGCGCTTGTAGCTTCTCCCTTTATTGAAAAGAGCTTGAATTTAAAGTGACAGTCACCAAAAAAGCACCCTTTGGATCAAAACCTAAAAGGGGCAGTTTCAAAGAGTTATAAAACATTATTTGTGGGGTATTTAAGCTGAAACTTCACAGACACACTCTTGGGACATCAGTGACTTATTTTACATCTTGTAAAAAGTGGCATAATAGGTTTGAAAGTGTAAACCAGGGGTCACCAATCTCAGTCCTGGAGGGCCGGTGTCCCTGCAGGGTTTAGCTCCAACTTTCCTCAACACACCTGCCTGGGTGTTTCAAGCAAACCTAGTTGGACGTTGGTTAGCTTGTTCAGATGTGTTGATTAGGGTTGGAGCTAAAATCTGCAGGATACCAGTCCTCCAGGAACAAGTTTGGTGACCCCTGGTGTAAACAATAATTCAACCTCTTTAAAAGTTGTATAAATAGTGTTTGTTACTCAAAATGAAAATACAGGGACGAGAGCTTCCCCCGAGGAACAGCTGAGTCTCACTCTGGCTTGGGACAGAGCTGATATTGCAAAAGACCACATTCTGGTCTATGGGCAACAATGGCAGGTATAGTAAACAGCTAATTTGACAATCAGGGTTGAGATGTTTTATGTGTTAAACCAGCCCATGTCTAATTCAGCACTGGATTTTGTAGGTAGGATCTCTGGAGCAGATCATGCTGGATGCGCTGATAATGGATCGCGTCAATTTTGTAAAGCTGCTAATTGAGAATGGCATGACCATGAGTCACTTCTTGACAATCTCTCGTCTGGAGCAGCTCTACAACATAGTAATGCACATGTACTGCTTGCATTGATCTTAAGCGTGTAATTCAAGTGAGTATCTCTGATCCTCATTTGTGTTTCTTTTTTCCCAGCAAACAGGCTCCTCACATCATTTCCTTCGACATGTTATTGCAGATGCCAAACAGGTTTGTGTAGAGTAAAACCCTAAATGCTTGTGTAGAGTACTTTTGTAAAAATAATAAAAATACATCATTGAATTAACTTTGACTAACTTCAGGTTCCATCTAATGGTTTAATTTTCCCCCAAACATTAAGTCAAAATAAAGTGTACTACTTGAACAATAAGTATATATTTATAAATGGAACAAAGAAAAGACGCATATTTTTTGTGTCTGCATGCAACTGAATTTACAAAAGTAATTTTATATACATGTAGATTTTTACATAGAAATGCAAAGAAATGGTGTAATTTATAGGGGAAATAATCATATATCATAGTTATTCTTTTAAAATATTTATATTCAAATGTAGTATTTAGTAATATTTTGAATTGTCTTTTTTTTTACATTTGCATTATTTACTGACATTTTTTTTCAAGTAATTCAATGCACTTTTGTTTTTCATTTAATATTTAGGCTTTATTTCAGCTTTACTCTTTAATTAATCTTTTAAATATAAAATATACAACAATATTTTTTAAATGTTTTTAATGGCTTTGCAAAGAAAGTATCATAAAGTTTAAAATGTCGAGGTGATAGAGCTTTTTTCAGTAGCAGCCCCGAGACTCTGGAACGATCTTCCACGCTCCTTAAGAACAGCTCCAACTTTTGAGTCTTTTCAGAGGTCACTGAAAACACTTATTTTCTTTAGCTTTTAGTCATGTGATATGAGTTTATGTATTTTGGTTTTGTGTATATTTGCATGTGCTTTATGTACAACACTTTGGTACCCATTGTGGTTTGTTAAAAGTGCTCTAAATATAGAGTTTATGAGAATAGCAATGTAATATTATTATCATGTAGGCCAGTGAGCTATTGCATAGAGGTAGCTGAATAAACTCTGAGTTTTGGCTAAGTTTAGAGTTGACAAATCTTCCTAGTTTAAAAAGCACCTATTACGCATTTAAAAAGATCATATTTTAGTTTTGGGCATCTCCAACAACAGTCTGATATGTGATACTTCAATCACTGACTCTTCACAGCCTCATCTTTGAGTAGGGAAAATAACGAGAGGGGTCTGGATGCAGACCTGCTGCGGTGCAATCTTAGCTGCATCCAATGCTTTTTAATGCGCTCACCTAACCTAACCCCACCCCTAACCCTACCCATCACAGTGATGTCACTCACTCCATTGAGTGCATTGTGTCTGCTTTGTCTTCCTCTTTTTCTTTTTCTTTCTTTCTTTCTTTCTTTCTTTCTTTCTTTCTTTCTTTCTTTCTTTCTTTCTTTCTTTCTTTCTTTCTTTCTTTCTTTCTTTCTTTCTCTCTCTCTCTCTCTCTTTCTTTCTTTCTTTCTTTCTTTCTTTCTCTCTCTCTCTCTCTCTCTCTCTCTCTCTCTCTCTCTCTCTCTCTCTCTCTCTCTCTCTCTCTTTCTTTCTTTCCTTTTAGTGTCTGTGGGTGGGGCCGGTGGGGTGGGGTTTAATTTTCCTGGGTGTGTGCATGCAAAAAATGGGTGGGACTTAAGTTTCATATCAACGTCACGCCCACATTACTAAAGATTACCAAGAAAAATCATTTGAACCACTTTGAATCAACTCTTTCATAGATGAATCAATATTTTTAAACACTGCACACTTTTAGGTTTAAGCCTTATCTGGATATTTCACTTCACTTAGAGCTGTGTTACATACTGCATGGAAGGTCATTTTCAAAAACCCATAATAGGGCTGTTTAAATCAGGTTGAAGTAACCGAAACGAGCTTCATGTAACCAGCCAGAAACATGTTCTTTTTTTGTAGACTCGCCTGCCTGCTGTTTATAGGATATCTTTAATCGACATTGGAATGGTGATTGAATACCTGATTGGTGGAGCATATCGAAGCACATACACACGCAAGAGATTCAGAACCATGTACAGTCGCTTACATAACCCAGCTAAGGTCTGTCTGCCTGGCAACATAAAAATATTGCATTGCTTGTGCTATTTCCGTTTTTTTTTTTATTACAGTTAATTTGATATGATAGTTTTTTTGTATTTTTTATTTTTGTGTTTACTCTTTTAATTTTAGTTTCAGCTAATTGCTTGTAGTTTTAGCTTTTGCCATAATTTTTTAAAAATCGTTTAATTTTAATTGTATTATTTGTATTTTATTTATTTAAAAGGTGTACAAAAGGTATGCTTTTTCCTAAAGAGTTGTTTTCTTGTGTAATAGGAGACATCCAGCCCGTTCAGCAAGGCCAAGAAAGTAGCTCCAGCTCCAGAAGCCACTCCACCTCGCTCTCATTTCCGCAGAACCGCTCAGCCATACAGACACCAGGTCCTTTGAGCTTTTCCATTCTGTTCACAGATGCTACAAGAAGCTATACATGCACGAATACATTCACAATCATTCCATTTATTAAAAACAACCAGAACTGTGTGTTTGCAGGAAGGTGGTGTAGCACCTCAGGACCAGAAGTCGGACCCGATCCCCGACTTTGTATGCACTTTTAACGACCTGTTTGTGTGGGCAGTGCTCAAGCATCGGCAAGAGATGGCGCTGCTCCTGTGGCAGCATGGAGAGCAGGCTATGGCCAGGGCGGTTGTGGCCTGCAAACTCTACCGCACTTTGGCAATGGAAGCCAAGGAGAGCAATATGGGAGACACCATGGCCGAGGAGCTGAAGAAGAACTCTCTGTCAGTTTGCATTTTACTTCATTCAAATAATACATGCTCAATTTGTTAAACAGTGATGGGGAAAGTTATTTTCAAAAGTAATGCACTACGATTTTGCGTTGAAAAAAAGTAACTAAATATGTTAATTAGTTACTTTTAATGAAAGCAATGTGTTGCGCTCCTTTTGCATTATTGTTTTTAACTGGGCTAGGCTTACTTGTTTGTAATAGTATAACGAACAAGTATAATTTGACAAATATAAGTCCATTTTATACCAAAAGTGCAAGTGACTTGAAAAACCTCAGGCTGCAGACCGATACAGGCTGTATCATCTAAACAATCTTCCGATTTCTGACAATGTGGGTACAGAAGAATAAATGTCAGGCAATAAATATGGAAAATAAAGTTAAATCATTACTTTTTGTGAAACAATAGCTCAGATATTGTCTTGAAATTTTAAAAGTAATGCATTACTAGTTACGTAAAGTAATCTGATTACATTACTCATGCTACTTGTAATGCTTTACCTTGAAAAATGGTTAATTTTACCTAATAGAAGTTGCACTTTTTAAGTAAATATGAGATTGAACATTTGACCGAAATTCTACTGTATTGATAAGGATGTCACCAATGTAATGCAATGTAAATGTGTTGGTCTATCAGAGAGTTTGGACAGTTGGCTGTGGATGTCCTGGATCAGGCTTTCAGAGAGAATGAGCGCATGGCGATGAAGCTGCTGACCTGGGAGATGAAGGATTGGAGTAACTTCACCTGTCTGCAAATGGCCGTCTCCTCAGGACTCAGGCCCTTTGTGGCTCACAACTGCACTCAAATGCTGCTCACAGACCTGTGGATGGGCCGTCTAAACTTGAGCAAGAACTCCTGGTTTAAGGTGTGTTTAGTGTGACTTAAAGGTGCAGTAGGTGATCTACGACAATGCTAACCGGCTAACGTAAATCTCTGAAACACAGTCCCACCCATGCCGTCCAAAGCCATGCCTCCTGAAATACAAGTGAGCGAGTAGTGCTTGGCAGGCGGCATGCAGGAATTACACTTATTACTAAGCCATACTTGCATGCTATTTCAGACCGAGTATTTAGAATAGCAGTAAACAATATAGGGAGCACATCACAGGTTTACAGTGTTAAAAAATGAACTAATGTGATGTGAATATAAAAGCAACTTCACCTCAGTTAAGCAGGCTAGGCAGAATAGCGCTGTTTACTGATGTTTTGTTGTTAAACTAAATACAAATCAAGCAACAACAACATCTGCATCAGCTCTGCGTGAAGCTAAAATAGTTTTAAAACAGAACATTTCCTGTCTAACAGAAATACTTCAGCCATGGTGTCGCCCTTTCTCTGACGTGCAAAAGTAACTCCAATATAGATTTAGGATTTTTAAAGAGTTTTGATCAAGCATGTTTTTACCGCTCATTCTCTCTCTTGTGTACGCACAAATGGCGGATCTGTGCATAAACGGCTGTGCATTAGTTTAAATCTGCATTTGCTGACAGACGGTTTGAGCTACATATCGGAATTATGGCAGATGTCCACATGACACTTTTAATTTGATGAACATTTTTTAGTTTTATGCCTTTTATACCCAGAATATATATATATATATATATATATATATATAATATAATATAATATAATATTATATTATATATAAATCATTTACTTTAATCATTACTATAGGACTGTGAAGAGACTTTCAACCAGCACAACAAAAAAATGTTTCTGAAGACAATCACCTACTGCATCTTTAAGTGAATTAAAGCATAGCTCACCCAAAATGACAAAACTAATTCTTATGAGGCCATATTTTTGAAACCACAGTTCATCATTTAGCTTAAGAGGTTATTGGCATTTTAAGAGTGAAAAAAACAATATGAAAGCCTAATGAAAGTTTGTGCAACATTATAAGCTTTAATCTCTTGCAAACAGACCTGAGCAACAGTCTGGAAGTTGGAAGAATGTTTTTGTAACAGAAATAATTTTCTGTAATGTATGTAATTTTAAAATGTAATTTTAAAATACATTTCTCAAGTTGGTTGCCATGTTTGCCAGCACCAAAGAATAACATTTAGCAAAAGTTTGTTAAAATGTAAAATGTACAAATTTTCAGCATATTTGTGACCCCGGTCTTTATGTAACTGTCATCCAAAACCATATCTTTTCTCCCAAGATCATCGGCAGTATCCTGATGCCTGTGGCCATTCAGTTGCTAGAGTTTAAGAGTCAGGCAGAGATGTCCCATGTTCCTCAGCTCCAGGAAGCCTTGCAGTTTGGGTGGGACACTGTGCCATCAGAGCAAGAAGGGGCAGAAAAAGCAGTAAGGATTCCAGTCAAACACAACACACTACAAAAATGCTATTTGTGATCTTTGCAGCTGAGATTCACTAGTTTGTGATTCAAAATACACTGGCATTCTGGCAAAAAAAAGGTCAATATTTTGTTGGACCACATGTAGCTTTGATTATGGTGTGCGTATGCCATGGCATTGTTCAAACATTATGCAATAACTCGTGAGCTTATTTACAATACAGTGTTATTATGCAATGTCAATCAGTTTATTGCTTGGAAATAATTGTTTCAATCAAATGCCAAGCCAAATATTAATCTCGGCAATAAACATCTAATCATAAGTTATGTTTCCATCCACCTATTTTTATGCATATTGTGGATATTCAGATAAAGAAATGGTTGGTGGAAAGGCAAGATGCGCATACATTTTGAAAATGCACATTAAAAACATATGTGCATAACTGAGTAGGATTTACTTTTCATTCGATAAGAAGAAATGCACATAAACTACAATGTAAACACTTTGTTTATACCGAACAAATTCCAAATTACATTGAAAAAGTAATGTGATTTTGTTTTAAAAGATCATATGGTGATAAAAATATATCTAAATGGACAAACCAGCAAGCTGAGCACATTGTAAAAAATCTCAAATGTTGTTTTGGTCATTCTTAAAACACCTTAACCATTTCAGTATTAGTGTTATTATATTATTAATTACCTCTAGAATCAAGACCATCTGTGCTCCACGTCTCATGCCTTCAGACACCACCACAAGTCCATTGCATGTCAGCCTTTGTCTTCTGAGGCACAAGTAATTTATTAATTAAAGAAAAGAGTTAGCGTCTTCTTCTACCGCTGCATTTTTACTTTTGATATATGGCGATAGTTAATCAAGTGACGATTTTGTTTTCTTTGACTCATTGGATGGATTTGGACGTCCTAATTCTGATATTCCAGTTTTGCACATAAATTTAATTCACATCTTTGGATGAAAAAATAGCTACAGACTCTTAAGTGTTTGCTTAAAATGTCAAAACATTTAAATTGAAAAGGTTAGTCTGTTTGCCTAAGCTATAAAAACAACAGATCAGACCAGAAGCCTAGTCAAACAAAGAATGACACAATAATGTGTGAGGGAATCCAATCATATCAAATCCCTAAGAATCAGTTTTGCATGAGGTCGGAAGGTCTCCCCACACTTTGTTTTTCATTTTCACTGCGTTGACCGAAAGGAACTGCTTGGTTTTAAAGTGACTTCTTGTGTGAGCTGCAGAGATTTCTAAACTTTTTAGAGTGGATTTGAGAGCATTTTTTGCTTTCATAAATCATGTTTAAATTTCAGCAATGTAACTGTGGCTGCCAACCTAACAAAACACACTCTTTGAGTATGTATGGACCTCTGTATAGCTTACATTAACAGTGGTCTTTCTTTAGGTTCCAGGTGATGAGGAGAGAGGCAGCAGTTGTCTTTATCCCTGGACCAGAAAGGTGTATGACTTCTATACTGCTCCGGTGGTCAAATTCTGGTTTCACACTGTAAGTGTTATCCTATACTCATAATGTGATGCACACTAGTGAGTGGAGTATACAAACCACCTGTTGTTCTTTTTTGTTGCATATGCTACTGCTACAAAGACTCAATAACAAACATAAAGTGCTTGGGAAATATGCTACAAATCATATTGCTCCTGCATTGCCTGACATGAGAAATATCTTATACAGTATTTATTTAAATCTCATGTATAACCTATTACTCTCAACATATGTACAGTAAGATAGTCCCCAGATATGCATGTTGCTATGTTATATTTTGTATATTTATGTTTATTTAGTATGTTGCACTATTGTCCTGCATGACGCAGCATTTCATTCTACTGTATGTCCTCACAGGTAGTCGAATGACAATAAAGGTTGACTTGCCGTAAAGGGATAGTTCACCCAAAAATGCAAATTCATTCCAAACCTGATTTTCTTTCAAAAGATATTTTAAAGACTGTATCCATAGTATGGGCGAGGCAGTGGCGCAGTAGGTAGTGCTGTCGCCTCACAGCAAGAAGGTCACTGGGTTGCTGGTTCGAACCTCGGCTCAGTTGGTGTTTCTGTGTGGAGTTTGCATGTTCTCCCTGCCTTCGCTTGGGTTTCCTCCGGGTGCTCCGGTTTCCCCCACAGTCCAAAGACATGCGGTACAGGTGAATTGGGTAGGCTAAATTGTCCGTAGTGTGTGCGTAAATGTGTGTGTGTGGGTGTTTTCCAGAGATGGGTTGCGTCTGGAAGGGCATCCGCTGTGTAAAAGCTTGCTGGATAAGTTGGCGGTTCATTCTGCTGTGGCGACCCCAGATTAATAAAGGGACTAATCCGACAACAAAATGAATGAATGAATGTATCCATAGTACAAGTTTTTTCTTACTGTGGAGATCAAATTAATTACTGGTTGCCAAATTCTTAAATTTTTTTGTTGTTGTACAAAAACAAGCTCAAGAACTATATCCCTGTAATCAACCTTTGTTTTCATGACACCCCTTTGCTCCATCTTCCATCTGTATTTCTGTCCAAACAGATGGCGTTTTTGGGATTCCTCATGATGTTTGCTTATACTTGTTTGGTGAGGCTGAACGAGACACCCAACATTCAGGAGTGCTTGGTCATGACTTACATCCTGGCCATGGCGGTGGAGAAAGCTAGAGAGGTGGGACATCTCAAAATTACTCTCTCCTCAGCAGATAAGAGAAGTATACAGTATGACATATAAATTGATGTCATTGAGATGTTGGCCTGGTGCTCTTTGCAGCTGTTCAGAGCAATTAAAGAATAAAATGCATCTTTGAAAAGTCTTATCTTAATCAAGCTGGATTCCAAAGGTCCACTGTAAGGTGTTATCTCTTTCTGGTTATGGAGTTGACCCTGAGAATGTCTCTGTCTGACTCCCCCTTTCCTCTATTATCTATGAACTCAACAGCAGTGCACTAGTGGGAATTATTAACCAGTTCTGTCATAGACTACACATTTGAGTGATTGTTTATTGTATTTCGGTTAGATAAACTCCAAGAGCCTCTTTCAATCCCAAGGAAAATAGTGATTTTTTTTTAAAAATGGATTTTGTCTTCTGGTCTGTCAGGCTTCTGGATCTATAAGCTGTCAATCAGCATGCAGGACCATACCTGACAATGATAACTAAAATGGTGTGTTATCTAAATGTATTCCCAAAAATCAAGGCATGTGAGACGCAATATATTTTTGGATTAGACTTTTGTATATTTGGATTTGGAAATCCCATTAAAATATTTTTAAAATAATCATTAAATCAGCCATGTGCAAGAAACTTTGCACTTTAAAATACACTTTAGCACTTTAAAATAACGTGTCAGTAGTTATTGTATGTAATGTTATATTAACTAACACAAACAATAATATATTTACTTCATTATTTATTCAAATTTGTTAACAATAGTTAATGAAAATAAAGCTCACAGAACATTAACTAATGTTAACAAGCACAACTTTTATTACATTTTAAAAATGTATTTACTCAATGAAATTTTAATAGTGCATTAAATAATTCAGAACTATGCTTAATAAATGCTTACTACGCTTAATACATGCACTGCAAGATTGCTTATGGTTAGTTCATTTATGTCAGTAAATAAATTAGCTATTATTTACTAATAGGCCATTATTTTAACGTGTTACCAAAAACTCTTACTTATAACTGGTTTAATGAAGAAATATCTTGAAAATAGACCATTATTTTATTGTATTACCAAAGTTTAATGTATTAATGTTTTATTTATTATTGGCAATGCATAAAAAGCTTGTACCTGGCTTCTTAAGTTGCAGGTGAATGTTTGTATACTGATTTTAATGTTAAGGACTTGATCAGATGAGACATTTATGCTTGCTCATTTATACAGTGTGCTGAAAGAGCTATTCTGGACTGTAACAATTTGCCATGCAAAGAACATTCCTTAAAATCATCATCTCAAGTAATTGATGGTTTCAAATATATTTGTTTTAATCGGTTTTAATGATCTCTTCTGTCAACATTATGCTAGAGAATTGTTGATCATGGACAAATACCCACATGGCTATAATCAGGTGGTTTTCTCACCGCTGTACTTTTTACTGAGCGTTTATTTATTTTTCTACTTGTGAGTCATTCTCATTGTTGGTGAACACATATTTCAGTTTCACTGCGCTGGTTTTCAGTCATGTCTGTTAATCTGTGTATTTGCAGTGATCTAATGATTCAAATTTGTCCTATTAATCTGTATTGTTTGATTTCATGCATGATATTTTACATAGGTAGCATGAAATGTGTAGTTAGTTATATTTGATTCACCATATTACGTGTTGGTAATAATGGGTGTCGTGTTTTCTAGGTGTTGGTTTTGGAGCCTAGGAAGTTCACTAAAAAGCTGAAGGTGTGGTTCAGTGAGTACTGGAATATCAATGACTTCCTGGGAATCCTCTTGTTCCTGGTCGGGGTCTCCCTCCGGTGGCATCAAGAAACACGCTTAGCCAGTCACATAGTCTATTCTTTGGATTTTGTCTTCTGGTCTGTCAGGCTTCTGGATCTATTCGCTGTCAATCAGCATGCAGGACCATACCTGACAATGATAACTAAAATGGTGTGTTATCTAAATCTATTACCAAATAATTACACTCTACCACACAACATTTAGTATCATGTTTTCATTTGCTTTTCTGTTACATATTTCACTAAAATAGATAATGCAGTTAAGTTGTGTATCTTATTTTTATGTCTTTCTTTCACAGATGAGCAACATGTTTTATATTGTAATCATTATGGCACTTGTGCTGGTTAGTTTCGGGACGTCGAGAAAGTCTATCTTGTCCCCTAATGAGGATCCATCCTGGACTCTGCTCAGAGATGTTGTCTTCCAGCCATACTGGATGATCTTTGGAGAAGTGTATGCTGGGGAGATTGATGGTAAGACTAAAGGAGACCATACAGTTTGATTTAAATGAACTTTTTTTTCCCCCACAGTTTCTCAAGTACTGAATTTTCTATAAAATTATTTCTATAAAGTCAAACGTGACTTTTCACTGTCTACATCTGGTTTTAAATTTTTTTTTTTTTGGATCCAGTCACCCAACCAAAATGAGTTGTAAAATGTTTTGAGCATGCCAAAGCTGAAAACACATTCAGTCAGATTGTTTTCATAGTGTAAACGCTCATGCGGTTGAATGTATTTAGATAGCCTCTAAAGCTATGGTGGGAGATTCTCTCTGTCTCGCACTGAACGCAGTTGACCAATCACAGCAGACATCGAGTCATCAGACCAATCAGAGCAGATTAGCGTCACACTAAGAAGGGGTTTGGGAACATGATTCGCTGAACAAATCATGTGGGAGTCATTGGGATAGGTCATTGGGTAAAAATAAATGCATATTAATAGACAATGAATGTATTTTTTGATCTTGCATGCATATCATCTTGTTGTTGGAGACCCCAAAACCAAAATATGATCTTTTTGAATGCATAATAGGGGTTCTTTAAACTTTGTCAGTAGAAAGTGTTAGTTTGGTTTAAAAATTAAATGTTCTCTCACAAATCTTGTTTCCAAAATAAACTCACAGATTTTAGCTTTGTTTTAAGCTCATTAGATCAGAAACTAAGGGCTCTATTTTGATGATCCATGCGCAAAGCGCAGAGCGCAAAAGCAATTAGGGCATGTCGGAATCCACTTTTGCTAATTTAAGGACTGAAAAATGCCATAGCGCATTTGCTATTTACATGGCTAATAATTCTGACTTCAACTGTGTGTGTGTGTGTGTGTGTATATATATATATATATATATATATATATATATATATACACACAACAGTTCTGTCTGGTTCTCGAATCTGATTGGCTTATAGCCGTGATATATTTGAGTAATATCAGCACCCGTACAGCCTCTTTACCCTTTGTGTATTACTCCGCCCACATACAGACAGCAAAAAGCAGACACTACAGATCTAGAGTTTAAAAGATGCTTTCTCAGCTTATGATTTGAATCCGGAAGAAAGTAGTTCCTCATACAAAAGGGTTTTTGAGACGCTCCACGTTTGATTTAGTTTTTATATACACAATTATGCCGTCAAACTGTTGTATAAACGCAACATCACACTCGTAGCAGTGCGATATGGCTGTATATCGG